ATCAACGTGCGCCCTGGAGTGCATATTCGCGGACCTTGCCCCTAATGCATGGGCCCTTTTAAAGGCGATGTGCATGGGTCCATTCGTGGGTGGGGTCTTGGCGTTCGATGGTTATGTAGGCCTAGGCAGCCTTCTTTAAGGAGGTTGGCTTCAATTGCCTCGAGAGGATCCAATCAGGCCATCTCCAGCCATAAGGCTAAATGTAGTCCATGGCTAAAAATTTAGCCCCTCAAAATATTAATTTTTTAAAGTATAGTGCAATGCTAAATTTGTCCATCTCCAGCCATACAGAGCTATATTTTAGGGTATTTCATATTTTATTATTTTGAGAAAGGGAAGTGGTGAGTGCTTTAATGTTTGGTGGTTGAAAAGCACATGGTGGGGCCCACTATGAATTTGGCCTAGGCCAAAGCTAGGCTACATTTGGCCCGGTTGGAGGGCTAAATGGCCAAATTTTGCCAAAATTTTATTTAGCCCATGGCTGGAGATGAGTTTTGCATTATTTTAGGATTATATTTAGGATATAGCCCATGGCTGGAGATGGCCTCACTTTCTTAAGTGATCAGGGCCTGATTTTAATTTGGATCTTCGGTAGTAGGCTCTAGTGACACTTTTGGTACAACAATATTAAATCGCCTCTATTTTTGTATGATTGTAGACGCAAAACTAATTGCACCTATAGAATCAAACTTGCCACCACAAAGACCAATTTTAATTATAAATTTCTTACTCAATTACATTAAACTTAGGTCACTCTAGAAAAGACTAACAACTAAGACGACCCTACAAATTATGAATTCGCATTTCACATAATTGTTTACTTGTTGATCCTTGCTGTGACATCACTACAAAATGTCACCAAATAATGGTGATTGTTGACACTTTTTTTTTGTAGAGCATGTGAATACTTTGGTCCTGACGAACCACTTCAATTAAGTATTTATTTACTTTTTTTTAATTCTACGGGGCCAACACATCAATTATAAAGTTATGCAACCACAATAGGATTAATCACAACCATGTATCGAGCTCATTACAAATATATATCATCATTGTACTCATGTGAGTCGAATATGAGATATCCTTCACCAAATTTAAGATAATTATCAGACTAAGGGTATGTTTGGTTTAAGAGTTAGAAGTTTAGGAATGAGTATGGAATTGCGTTCCCAAGTTTGATAAGTGCACTAATGAAATATCTAACTCATCGATATGAACTTTCATGCAAGGGAGAATTTAACACCCTTGGGAATTTTTCTCCCCCTATATGGAAAAGCATTTCATGCACTTTTTTGGACTAAATTACCCATATTATAATTTTTAAATATCACATTTTATTAATAATTTTAAATAAAAAGAAGGGTGTTGTTGGAAAACTCAACAATTTTCCATTCATAACCAAACATGGAAATGAGATAAAGTTGTATTTTCTAATCCTCATTTCCCAACTTTCCCAAATATGGGAATGGGCATATGTCATTCTCATCTCCTTGGATTAGATATGAGAGTTTCATTCCTAAGAATTTTTTTTTTTGGGTGAGATTAAGAAGTTCATTTCATGAATCAAACAGACCTTAGGGGCTAGTTATTAATTTATTTTTCATATTAATGTTATGAACTTTTTCAAAACCTACGGATTTTGAGTCCCTTACTTCACTATAAGAAATTTAATTACTAAAGTTTCTTTTCATCATTTCTGGTAACGTATCACCAATCTGATGCCAGTCGAACTTAGGACATGTTCAGCTTTGGATGTTACACAAAGCCAACATGCTAGCAAACAACTAGTTTTTTTGTACTCACTTACAATTTTAGATAGTAAATCATACATATCAACTTTTAAACGAAAGATATTTCTCTTATGTAATACTCTTTCTTCATGACATTATTGGAGCACACAATTCCCACACACTTCATGTCACCCAAATAAGTTGTACAATTTAGTTTTAGGTTTGAAGTATTATAAGCATGAAATATTCGAGATCACCTTGTCAATGCTTTTAATTGAATACAATGTTTCTTATAATAAACTATGGGGATTCTTCAATAAGTATTTTATGTTAAGAATTAGTTACATATTTCTAATCTCGACCATTGAATTTCATGTATGTTACATATTAAATCTAATAACACATCTAATGAATGCAATCCAATAACTGAGATTAGAAATATGCAACCGATTCCATAAACACACAAAAAAAGTTACTCTTTTTTGAAAGAAAAAAAAATTGGTTTATGAACAAAACCCTAGAATTGAGGAGACCACAAAAATCCAGATATAAACTTTTGGAGGAAACACTAAACATAAGTTAGTAGTCTGCGTAAGATTATGTTTGAGGAACCACCATATATTATGATTTTGTAATTCTTCCTGATTGCTTAATAAAATGTTGTCTTTCATAAAAATAAAGAAAAAAGGTTTGGTTTGACATAACTCTTTAACATCATATAAACACCTTAATTATTTAATTTTTAATTGTTTTTGGCCTAAAACAAAGACCTTAATTTGGACTTATGTTAAAAAGTACAGTAAAACCACCGACTGAAGTTGAAAACAAGAAAAACCCTTCTCTCTCTCTCTCTCTCAGTGAAAAAAACATGGGCGCTTGTGCTTCCACTCCGACGAGGACAAGAAATGGAAGCAGAGGAGGACCGGCAGGATCAGATTTGATCAGACGGGCGACAAACAGCATAGTGATCCACGCGGACGGTCGGATGCAGGAGTTGAAGCTACCAACGCAAGCCAAGCACATAACTTCGCAGAATCCCAATCATTTCCTCTGCAACTCCGAGACCATGTCTGTCGGGACGTGCGTGCCCCACGTGCCTGAAGAGGAGGAGCTCCAACCGGGCCAAATTTACTTCCTGTTGCCACTCTGTGAAGCCCAGAAGCCGCTCTCTCTCCCGGACCTCTGCGCTCTGGCAATCAAGGCCGCCTCCGCATTAGGCAAAGATGGTGCTCGCCTAACTCCCAAGCTCAATATTCATTGAACTTGGTTTTCTTTTTTCTTTTTGGTATGATATTTTTTATGGTTTTTTTTATTTATCAAAATCAAATTGAGTGATATATGGTCAAACACATTTGAATGTTAGCAATGTGAAGCTTGAGATCGATTTTATTTTAAATTTAAAAAAGTGATATTCTAATTATTCTAATATACGAGTAGATACAATTCAAATAAAAAAAGAGATGGACACATTGCCGTAGCTAACTACAATAAACGCATTTGAATGTTAACGATGTGAAAATTGATCGGCCTAAGAGGGCGAACACACCGTTCGTGGCTAACTTGTTTAACCCACATTGCTATTGCTAGCTTGAACTTTTTTTAATCTTTGGGTGTCAAAATGATTAGGACTGAGGTAGGTTTTATTTGGTGTGGGTAAATGGTAACGCTTTGACCAAAAAAACATGGTAAGGCTTTGACCCAAAAGAAATGGTAGGCTTTGACCAACATGTAGGCCGAAGCCCCAGTTCAACAATCATATGAGCCTAGTTCTTTGATGAAGCCCAATACCTATTAGGCCAGTCGCAATTTACGCATTCAAGTTGATGAATCAGTTGTGGAGATATTAAAAGCGTCACAGGGTGCGTGCAAAAAGGTTGTCTTCTAGTTCACATTGCCAAGCTACGCATGCACGTGACTAGCCTCTGGGGCTGACGTCAATGGTCCTAGGCCAGAGGTCCTTATCAAAGATAAAAGTCAACGAGGTCACGTGCATTGTTGTGGGAAATTTTAGTACGTTGTTTTGGTCAATCAAGGAGGCACAACGCCACGCTGGCTCTTAATTACCGACCATTGAATCGAAACCATCAACCAACTCCGCCGCTGGAGTTCTGGGATGATGAACGAACGACACACAACAATATTTTCTGACTTTAGCTAAAAAGGAAATGCTCAATTATATTTCAAACTATTGGATTTGTTAAATATATTTCAGTATACTATTCGGTACGGAATACTCTCAATAAAAACATTGACGACGATTGTTTTATTACAATTTTAATCGATTAACAATTTAACCTACAAGTTTTAAAGTGGCTATAATTAAATATAACATTACATTTTTCATCGATAAATGGAGAGAAAATGTCACTTGTGCTCCCACGTGAGGCTGGTGGTCGCCTTTGTACTATATGAAAAGGGCAGACCAGTAACTTCACTTTGTTCTTTGAAGGGGATGGAGAGTCCGTACTAGCTAATAAGCTAGCTAGAGAAGTTGATCAAGTATAGTGTATGTCAATATTCCAAGCACAATAAAAATCAGTATACGCATGGTGAAGATCCCTTTCTTTGTGTATTCTTTTTCTTTGGGTTAATATAGGTGATTAATTTTCACTAGATTCATATTCTAGTTGACTATATATACATTGAATCTCAGATTTTATTAGAATTCAGTCTAGTCCAATTCGAATCAAATTGGCATTCAATGAAGAAAAGAAAAAAAACGAATGCAATCCTATCTTGGTGAGTTTCTTGTATTCTCAGAACAAATGAAACAACAAACATCTATATAAACAGTGTTACGTGGTCACTATTTTGTCATTACACGATGAGACAACTTCATGTACTCATTAATGTAAGCTTAATATAAATCGTTTGTTCCGACAACTTAAAAGAAAAAAGATATAAATCGTCTGATCCGTCCCTGACAACTTAAGTTTCTGAAATTATTGGCAGTCTAACAAGGTAGGAGAGGTTTCTTTGTAAGTGGTCTACAGTTAGCTCTCGTTCCCCACTTGTTTGTTGGTTTGCAGACCCACAGGTGAGAGAGTGTATAAATACATTGTTGGTTCATGTATAAATACAATGATTAACTACTAATTACCAACACATCAATTATCACTCATGAATGATATGACTTAACATAGAGTCAAACTTGCCGCTTTTAACATTACTCACACAAGAAGGGCAAACCAGTAACTTCACTTCATTCCTTTTACTGACACAGAGGCCTCTATAAATAATTGGACACGATTTAACCAGATCAAGATCAAAATGGCCCATGCCTTGCTTCTTGTGCTAGCAGTGGCTCTAGCCACTGTCAGCTCAGCCCATGTTGCAGCCGCTCAGCTCAGCCCAGCCACCCCTCCTCTCTCAAATGCAGCCACAGAATACCTCAAGGCTCACAACCAGGCCAGAGCTGCAGTGGGCGTTGAGCCTCTCAAGTGGAGTGAGTCTCTGGCCAATGCCACAAGCAGACTTGTGAGGTACCAAAGAGACAACAAAGCCTGCAACTTTGCTAACCTCACCAGTGGCAGCAAGTATGGAGGCAATCAGCTGTGGGCAAGTGGCCAGTCAGTTACACCAACCATGGTTGTGGACACTTGGCTCAAGGAGAAGGACTTCTACAACCACACTGGCAACTCTTGTGTTCCAAATCATAGTTGTGGTGTGTATACCCAGGTAGTGTGGAGGAAGTCTGTGGAGTTGGGCTGTGCACAGGCCACCTGTGTGAAGGATCAGAGCAGTTTGAGCATTTGTTTTTATAACCCTCCTGGGAATGTTATTGGGGAAAGCCCCTACTAGAGAAGTTTTCAAGTTTGGAATCTATGATCTTGAGGGGTTAATTAATAATGTGTTGTTGCACTTGGGTGTTGTTTATATGCAAATTAGGCAAAAGTATTGTCTGAGAGGCTCTTTTGCTGCTAAATAACAGTATGCTTAGTCGATATTCTAAACTTCTCTAATTTACAAGGATTAGAAATCGAACTCAGTTACAAGAAGGCGAGCACACTATCTTAACCAACTGAACTAGCCCCTGTCTATCTATGCTTATGGCTCAGATCTATTTTTCTTGTGTTGTGATTTGTTTTGTTTTCTTGGTTACAGATTACAGCTGCACTGGTTCATTCAATATCAATAAATCATGGGTTTGTGATTTATGTAATTATATTTTAAGAAAAATGAGTTGGGAGATCCAAGATATAAATGATGCAGAACCCAAATTGGAATAGGCTGATTCTTGTGATCCAAAAATGGGTACTGTACTTAACATAAGAATTAACGATCCACCGACACAGAAAAATTGTGAATGAACACGTGAGTCTCACACTGACACACGCATGAAATGCGAGTAAAGATGTAATGTTTTTGCCAAATGTTATCTATGTTAATTAATCTATTTTAACATTAATAATGATGGTTCAAGGGAAAACATTACAGCAATTGCAGATATATTTACAACGCTAAATGCGCCATTTCAATTCGTTCACAGAAAGATTACAGCAATTGCAAACTTTGCAGAGCCTGATACAGACAGTGCAGATACAAAATGCTGCAGGTTACACCATTCTATTCTCCAGCCCTCACTTTTTTTTCCCCCTTTTGCCTCTTTTTCTGGTTCATATTCTACTTTGTACAGAAGATATGCATGAAAATTGAAATCCTTCTAACAATGAAAAGCCTAGGAACAATGTATATTACTGTATGTATCACCCCATACAAACGTTTCACTTCACCAGCTCTTTAGAAATTAGATACCGAAAAGTGAAATTGTGAGGAATCCACTCAATGCTCTTACGAGATTTCACAAGCTGGCATTTCTTGACGCTCTTCCTCAAAGATTCAGGCACTGATTGTTGGATCATCTCCAAAACACCAACCGGACACAAACCTGAACTCTTCGCAAATGCCTCAACAATCTTGGGCAGAAGAATTTTGTGGTCCTTGCGCACGCCAAAGGTAGCTCGAATGTACTCATCTTTTGCAGCTTCCAGTTCCTGAAATACTCTCTTGGGTGTGTATACACGAACCTGAGAAAGATCACGGAAAGGTTCACACAATTTCTCTCAATTAAAAACATAAAAGCTAAGACAAAGCATATCAAGGAATTGTTGATTTTTCTATCCTTTTTTCCAAGGGATAAATTCGTTTTGGTTATTTTCTCAATATTAACCAGATAGAAGGGTGACTGCTAAAAGCTAAAACGTACTTCTGCCTTCCATTGTGGCAGTGGGATGCAATGCAACAAGGAGTTCAATACAGGATAGAATACATTCAAATATGCTGGGATATTCCAAAAGCAGTATAGATTTATGAGTAATGTTAGAAATACACAAAAAAAAAAGGGATAATGAAGTACCGCAGGATCAGAATGGCTTCCTGAACAAAGTGCAAAGTGAAGAAGGGGTTCTGGATGGTCGATGGCATATGCTTGCCGTTCATCCCCAGTCTTGAATTTGTTCCTTGGAGTAAGCAACAAGCGAAGCCACTGCAAACACAGATAACCTTTATAAGTTTGAATCACAAGAGATGTTAAGTTAGATAAACTCTTGGGAAATTAGAATAAAGCGTTTTTTAGAGTTTCAGAGTGTGTATAAATATGTGTCCTAGGATCCACCTGTCCTGGGCGAGACATTCGGCATTCAAGGATAGAGCTCTGCATTGTGTCTGCACTGATTGTGTGGCCACCGATGTTATATGCAGCCTGGAAGTAAAAGAAACCAAGTAAACAAATACCCTTACTCAACTTTTCCTTTAAGTAATGCCTGTGAGAGACTATTCTTACCTTTAAAAGTAAAAACACCCTCTTTACATTGTTTTGTGGAATCCCATAAGCCAAATATGCCTATCAGAAACAGATTATTCATTAGAATCCAGTAGAAACCAACCAAAGATGACCACAATGTGAAATAGGTATACCACAGGTAGTGAACATTACATGCATCACCAACGTATTGTGTACATTAATCCAGAAGGCTAATTTCTCATCATTTTTCAACTTTCTTGGGTCTACTTCCTCTAGACGACAGATAAGTGACCTGTAACAAGATAACTCTGTAAGCATAACTTTAATTGCAAGAAAACATAAAATTTAATTCAAATTGTTGACATAAAGGCTCACCTAAAATGTTGTAGCAAGTGCTCTATATCGCCTAATTTTTTACTATCTCTATAAATCCATGGCACTTCAACCATTGTGCTGTATGGCCCACTAAACTCTTTAAGTCCTTCAACATGAAAAGGATTATCCAATCGTACATCAAAAGATGAATTATTCCTGAACGTTGGACTCCACATTTCACTCTGATCTCGTGGAGAAAATGCACTTGTTGATGACAAAGATGAATTGGGGGATGAAAGGCCATTATTTGTCAAGGGTGGTTCTGCAAGCTTGCAATATATAGTGGACATGCACTTGATCATGTCCTCCGAAAGCCTATTAGGTGTTTCTGGAATATGATCAGCAATGCGTGTACCAAGATGCTCTGCCAGACTAATTACATTTGATGAAGTATTCTGAGCATACTGGGAAAACAATTGAAAGACACAATCAGATAAGGCCATCAAATTTCCATGCATAGCATGAAAAAATGGTTAAAGTAAACCAGGGTGTGCCATGATCTGTGGATGAGCATCTTTAGGGGAACAAACTTTTATCAGAAAACGGTAAAAACAATGCACATAAATTACCTCCATCATGGATAACGGTTGAGAATGACACGAACGCAAAGCTTTCGACAAACACTCTTCTGGAGGAGAAGTTCTAGATAAGAATGCAGAACGTTGCGAAAGTGAGGAGTGGCAACGGTGAACACCAGAATCGAATAGATTTTCTTCTCCTCCAATTCCATTAGTTCCCTTCCATGAATTTTCAAGTGACTGACCACCAGATTGAACTGCTAAATTTTCCCTCTTCGATGGCATTTCAGGTTCGGAAACTTCCAGGGACCTGCTTCTTGGGGTTGTTAGAGTTGGTTTTAGTTGTTCATCCTTCTTAGATGGGGAAACAGAGGACAATTGTCCATCAAATGCTTTCCGATACAAAGAGAGAAGGTATTGTTCTAAATGAACAACTTCCAATTCCAATACTGCAATCTCCTTAATCAATTCTGTGGCTGGCTGGAGTCATATAAAAGCAGTGTCAAAATGTAAGTAACAAAAATTACAGAAACAAATAGTGGTGAAACAGTCTGCAAAAGCAAATCAACACCAATGTCAAGCTCAGCACCAGATTTGCATTACAATTCTATGGCCAAGGCATTCAAAAAACAATTTTTATCAGGGAAGAAATTGAGCGCTGAAGTTAGTCACTGCTCGCAAATACAATAGATAAAAGCAAACATCTACTGTATACTCTGGTGGTATCAAACTAAGGCTACTTAAGACACTAAATTTAGGAAAAATGTGTAGGAACAATCGTAAATACCTCCACAACAAGTGCGATTATTTAGAACTTAAACGTAGAAATATATGTTTTAATAGGGTATAATACAGTGCATGCAATAGAAACTGATATAGAAATATAGCATGTACATTTTTTATAGCGATGCAAGTAGCCTGTTGAATATTTCCTATACATTAAAGAAAGAAAATTTGAATATGAAGACAGAAAGGAGCTACCTTAGGCATAGAAATTTCATTTGTGTTGTGAAGGATAGAAGATCTATAACCCAATGCTTTTTCTAAAGCATGGCGGACATTGAATTGATCTTGTAATCTTTTCTCAAGCTGTAGAATCTGTGTACAAAACAGTAATAAGAAAAGATAAAGCTGGAGCTTGCTTGCACAAAATGGGTTGGGTTTAAACATCCAAAATCTCTTGAACCTATATATAAAGATATATAAGTTTGGAATACCTCTTGCTTTAAAGAGCTGTGCACTTCCACAGTAGGAGATTGTTTCTTCTTGGTTGTAGCGCGGCCCTTGAATTGCCCCATATCCTGGTTTTAGATCCAATCCCCCAAGTCAGTATGTAAAATTACTTTTCGACACTAAAGTTCAGAGTTCAGTGTGTGAATCATCAACATAATCGTCAGTCTTGTATCCAACTTGGCTTAACAGAGCTTAATTCCTACCTATGGCAATGGGTATTATAAATCATAGACATAAGTACTAACTGAAATGTCCTAAAACTTTATTTTAACTTTATAACACATGTATAATTAAGATTAAAAATCTAGAAAAGAAAAGAAAAATAGAGGGGCCAAAATGTTAACGTTCAGGCTGGCACTATGCTTAAGATCTTAAATTAAGACTTATTATAAGATAATGATTATGGAATAAAATTGGTGAAAGGGCAAAATGGAGTAGTTATCTTACCAGCTTTACTCGGTCTGATGCTTCATACAAACTATCCAAATCATCTTCCTGCACTCCTCTCTTCTCTGGAAAGCTGGCAATGCATAAGCGTGAATAAAAATACTTAATAGATATTGATTGAAGAAGATGGCATTTGACGTCTTTCATTCCATATCTAGGACACTTCAAACATGATTTGTCGTCCATTTACAAGCCAAATCTCAAGGCGTTCTTTTCAAATAAGAAGAAGAAGAACTTTGACATTCAATATCCCTTACTTCTCATATTACAAACTTTAACAGGAAAACGAAGTTGGCAAAGATTTATATGAAAGAATAAATAAACCTTTGGCAGAGAAGAGAAAAAAATTGAATGAAAAAAAGGGAAAATCAAGAGTCTGAATCAATTAATACAAAAAGAATGGAAAGGATAATATCTTAAGTCCCTCATTCCATAAATTCCCCCATATCTTATCACGGTTTTCACTTTCAATACCCTCTATTTCTCATTGAATACAAAGAATCCAGCGGACAAAAAGCTAGGAGAAGAGAAAAACTTCATGGCTAACACCTGAATTCAAGGGTCTCAATAAATCAAAGAACTCTCTCAAGTAATACCCCTCTCTTTGGCTAAAAACAATTCAAGCTTCCCTCCATGAAACTAGCAAAGTGGAAACAGGCCAAAATGGAGGTTAGTAGATATTGTCAGTGTTGTTACTTGAGGAAAAAAGTGTATAGCTGGGAATGCTCAGGTTCCCATTTGTCCCATAACTCATCTCAGAAGTTTTTCCAGTTCAATAATCACAAGTATAAATACCAAAATCTGGCAGAAATGTGCGAACACTGATTTGCTAACTAACAAAAGAATTTTAATGAGCTGTCAACAAAAACCAAAGTAATTAGAAAGCTACCTTTTTGAACGCTTGTGTTTTGGGTTTACTCTAAATCCCAGCATTTTACCGTCACCGCTCATCCCAAACCCCATCTCTGCAAACAACGGTAAATTTCAGTGAGCCAAAAACAACTCCAAGAAACAAGAAAACCAAACAGAGAAAGCAGAGGAAAAATAGTTACCATTACACTCCAGAAAAGCCAGCAAGAACCCTGATGGAGTATTTGATAGATGATAAAAAGAAAAGACCCAGCAGACGAACAGGGACCAAATAGTTCTCAAAGGCCTTTAATTAGACTCCAAAGCTTTAACTTTCCCACTAGCATTTCAGCAAGCAAGAGCTTCCAGGAAGTAGCCACAAAGTGATCACTTGCTTGCTGCTAACAGAGTCTGAAAGTGGCAGAGCTGAAACGGTTCACAAAAAACGACTCAAAAAAGACGACCCTTTTGACCGGTGAGCTTCTCTTTCAAGATACTGAGTGTTAAAATGTTTAGCTTTTGCAAATGGAGGAGCTTTGGCTTTTCTTTAAAAGAAGTAAAACCAGCTCGTGGGCTTTAATGGAAGTAGAAAAGAGGTAGACCCCTGAATGTCAAAGGGTCCAAAAGTGGACAATTTTTCTTTCACTCAACCAGAGGACGAGTGAGACGACGATAAATAGTGGCTCCGAGTCTGGGTCTATGTATAGCGTGCGTGAATAAAGATCATATTTTTAATGTCATAAAAATAACAAACACGAAATTTCCACATTCTCTTCTCTTGTTGTGAAGCAAGTGGGAGTTGGTGACCGCCCCTCCACCCTTGTCCCATACTGTTTGCTTTGCTCTACACATAGGTCTAAGTCTAAGACTAGTACGATATCTAGGGCTGGCTCCATATGGAGCATTGCATGCCATTGCTATATATTTACAAATAAAAAAACTGATTAATGACAATGCCATTGCTACAAATAGGAGTTTGCAACTAAAATTACATTTCTTGGATAAGAAAAGAGATTACTCGATTTTTTTCTTTATCGTTCGTGAATAGATTAAATGGTTAAAAGTATTTTAATTCACAATAGATTTCGTATATTAACTTTATAAACAAATCCTCCATGCTATGTAAGAAATTGTGGTGTTGCATAAGTGCATACAACAAACCATACTTCCAATATTGTTAATGTCACATCAAATTGTTTCCTCTTTTACATTCTTTTCCAAAAATCAATTTCACATTGACTTTGTGCATCTAAAACTTGTGTATGCAAGATGGAACATAGCATTACTCTTTGTGAATGGTGATCTTTCAATTCATTACATGGCAACAAGATGATTTATGAGTTCAACCCAAGAGTTCAAGCAAAGTCAGTGGTATGTTGTTTTAGGATGAAGTAGTTCTAAGTCCACATAATTGGAATTGTAGAAATACATAATTTGGGATAATGCTAGTGGATTGAAATTTATCTGAGCCAAGACAATTGTGAGCAAAAACCAAAAATGGGTTGCGTCCAATAATGACTTGGTCACAAATGTTTTGGTTTTAGAAGAAAAGCAAAGCTTCCCCATCAAAAGGGATGAAAGGTGAGGGATAAAGGAGACATAGGATGCTTGAAAGCAAGAGGATTTGAGAGCTTTCTCTTTGTCTAAATCTCTTTTGATAAAACAATTGATGCCCAAACTGTCCTTCAGTGTCAAGGGGACTAACGTTTGTCATAGAATCCACCGAATAAAATATGTTTTATATTATATGGGGCTTGACCTTTTCCAATTCCAATGGTCCAATACAAAAGAAAAAAGATGAATGGCAGCGTGGTAAGGTGGCCCGTCTCTCTCCTTTTTGTCGTGATATTCACCTAATTGGGGAAAATAAAAGGAAAAGGCTTCGTTTTTCACTGCAATGAGGGACTCTTTTTCCCGGTCTGAGGCTCTCTGAGCAATGAGACAGACTTTTCCTTTCAATGGTAGAGACCTTTTTTAACTGAATTATTTACTAGGTACCTTTTATATTGAGATTGCAGAAACCAGAAGCCTAGTGTAACTTGCTTCCAAAAATAGCCTATTTCAAATATACAAACATGGATTCCGGCAATGCAATGTAGTTGGATTCTCGTGTACATCTGAATGAATTATCCTTTCCACGAAGGTAAATCTTAGTATAACTTCAAAGAATAGCGTAGTATATTATGAGACTGAAAATAAGGGCTTAGTCCAAAACCCAAGATATAAGGTAAGAAGGAAAATAAAAAGTTAGGAGCATTTTCAAGAGTTTTGCTTCTATTTATCGTCTATGTGCACATGATGCATCCTTGCATCAATCAATGATTAGTAGTCACTTTCATGTCTAATTAAATAGTAGCCACAAGCATGTAGATGACCGAAATTTGTCTCCATCAATTTAAATTTTTTAGCACACAAGAAACAACCCCTATCATTAGGCTCATCAGTTGAAATGAAAACGAGTTATATACAGTATGCTATGCCTTATTAGGCTTGGTTTATTTAGCATCAGAAATCCTTTTCAATATTATCTTTGCGTAGGGATTCTTCATCTGGGGTTGAGGGTAGAGACAGAAAATATGGTTCCTTTTGGATCTATCTGACATTTTAAGCTCCATTTACTAGGGGTTGAAGCTTTTGGTTCCAATAAATAAACAAATGAAACTTCTATTTTATCTTATTATCAAAATGTTTATACAAGTCAGATGGATGGTTTCACAAAGCCAAAATTATTAGAAAACCAAGAAAAAAAACATATATTATGTATTCAATTGCAGAATAGGAGAATCTTCAAAATTTTCAAATCAAAACTGACAGACATACTTCATGGAAATTTGGATTTATAAGTTGCATTAATGATATTCTTTAGTCGTGGACCACAAGAAACGACATCCTTGCTACAAGGATCAAAGAGAGTAGGACATAGAGTTCCATGCTACTGAGATCTCTCTCAGAAAGTTGTTAGTTTTCCAAAGAATCCAAACACAAGATCAGGTTAAGACAAGGTTTTGCCATTGATTTTAAATCAATAAAACGTCTGTCATATAGCTTAAAATCAAATTTTAAGAACTTGGGGGACATAAACAACACTAGCTGCAAGCCTGCAACATACACATATCAAGATGCAGGGCAAGAGATGTGCAGCATGAGTGGTAAAAGAAGACAAATTAGAAGTGGATGTAAAATGCATTTGAAATTCAAAAGAAGCTCATAAAATTAGATGGAAACTGCAGCTTCTGAAGCAGGGTGGCTTTGTTTTTTGCTGGTTTCACTATATTTTCCTATTCTTTATATGAAAACGTTAAATAAAATCTAGAACATGTTCTGTTATCAGAACTTCATCATTTTGTTTGTGACCAAACAGATGTTCTCTCACTACTGATTCAAATTTCAATGACCTTGAGCAATTTCTTGACTGATGCAAGTTCTGTTTTCATTCAACAATCATTCAACAATCAGTCAATGCCCCACTTTGTGGGGTCTACACTACATATTTACATATAAAGAAGGAACAATGCAATGATTCACATGGGAAAACTATTTGAAATATGGCTTGATTTTTATGCTTGGTCCTTGAAACTGAAGGGAAATGGGTAATCATAAATAAGACTTCACGGAGGTTTTTTTGTGTGTAGAGAAATATGAGGTACCCAAATGTACAGAGCTAAAGATGAAGCAGAATCTGTGCTTCTTGATCTGAGGCTGCTGCTCATGCATCATCTATCACTGAGTGGGGACTGGTCAGTGAGTTGCCTCGAGTTGGCAAAAACTAGATCCAAATAAAAAATTGTCCTTCAGCAAATTAGCTTAGATATGACGGGAGAGAAAGAGACCATTTTGTGTAAAAATGGGGAATAATTTTTTCTTTCCTTTTTTTCCTTCTTGTTTTTAGTTTTTGGGTTGAATAAACTCTGTTTTGGGTTGGGGAAGGTGAAGAATCCCACAAGTGGGACAGAAAAGGAGAACTTTCCAAAGACATTTGGACAAGTGAGTCAATGCCAATCATAACCAGCAAAAGGCATCTCTCTTTCTCTCCCTCCTAGTTTTGCCCCTCAACCCCATCTCTCTCTCTCTCTCTCTGGGTGGTGGATGGTCCAACACCAAAAGGGTTTGCTTACTTGATCTTAATGCAAATCATTTATGCTTAGAAAAACCCATATCCAATTATACTTTTCAATTTTAACAACATAAAAAATGCTTATAAAAAAAACAATTATATCTTAAAAAAGTTTTGGTCGTGAGAACTTTTAAGGTGCCACTAACAACATAACTACTATTATCTACCACTGGGGTCCAATACCATCTCCACCTTCTGCAACCTCTACATAGCATGGGAGAAAATAAATCGATTTCTAATATTTTTGGGCCTCAAAATTTTTGGTTGTGCTAAGTTTTCTTCCCAAATGGTCTGGTCCATGCATCATTGATGGGGTCTTCTGTTCGGATAGCCCATAGCTCCATTCACTGGGCTTTTGGTTACAAAAGCTTTTTTTTCAGCCGTTGTTACAGAAGACTAATTTAAGGAGAAGGTGACAACAGATGAGGATTTTAGAAAGATTTGATTGACAAGTGAGAATTTTACATGAAATCACAGGCAAGAACAAGACTAGAAAGAAAAACAGAAAAACAAAAAAAAGGGCATAAACCCAGTGCACCAGCTGGTAATTTTATAAATGCTCTCCAAAGATGAGCAAACGCTTTTAAGGCACATACATGCATTTGCCTCGAACACATTCGCCGCTATTGAAGTCATACCATATGCCATTCTGCACATTTCATGGCAATGGCCTCTCGTTTCGCAACCTTGCTTGGAGACCGGACAAGGAGTTATCACCTCACACTACTTGTGCTTATTGCTCTTATTAGGCTTAGCAGCATGATGACTCTTATGTTTAGTTAGATGCCTTATGCTTAGTCACACGATTCTTCTGCTTTGTTTTATTACCCTCAATTGCCATCGGCTCAATCTTTGCTAATATGCGTCATTCATAAATCAATCGAAAGAATTCTAGTATGCATAGCAAGGAATGTTTTCTTGTCAAATTTATGTTGTCACACTGTGATTCTGAACCCTCAATATTGAAGAAATAATCACACTAATTATGGTCATGATTCGTACTTTAATATGTTTTTAAAAGAACATTTTGCGTGCATATATACGAGCTATATGGTTCATGATTATGCATGCACAAGGCATCATTTTTTGCCACTTTCATTCAGGCGCCGCACATCCACATGCTTTTGTATCTTTATTAGGTCTAAAGTCAAAGGGGTAAGGTTGAAAGGTCAAATTAGCAAGGGGCAATGGAAGAATACCGGTAATCACCAGAAGGAGAATGAGGAGGAGGGCAAGTGAAAATAAATGCATGGAGCGTCCCATCTTTGATCTTATTACGTACATGGTTGTGTGTGAAGGAAGAGATGGAGCTTTTTGTGATGCAAATGGGTATAATCTTGCAAGGATTTTATAAAGAGTCTGCGGAAGGGATTAAATTAAGAGCTAGGATCCATTGAAAGGATTTGTGGCTATTTAGCTAATGAACGTGTGGCTTCACAATTAAGGGGAGAGAGAGTGGTTTTTTTTTCTTTTTCTTTTTTTTATGAAAAGAGAGTGGCTATTTTAGCTAATAAACTTTGCAATGCTTTTCGACCAAAAAAAAAACTTTAAACGAACAGGGCCTTAGTGATTCGTATTGCCAGTCTCTTGCGCAAAAGCGATCACCCGCTCCATTCACTCAAAGCGATTCAAGCAGCAGAAACTAATCTCTGATGTCGGTAGGTTGAAGCTTGCATTTCATTACACACATTTGCGTTTAGGGTTTTACATATACAAATGAATTGATTTCTGTTTGAAATGGCTGTACAGATCTTCGAGTACAATGGGAGTGCCTTACCGCAATGGTGGGCAAGAACTGCTACGCCATTGCAAGCGATCGAAGGCTCGGTGTTCAGCTTCAGACAATCGCCACCGGTTTCCAGAGAATTCGTAGAGTTCACGATAAGCTCTTTATCGGCCTCTCTGGTCTCGCCACCGATGCTTAGACCCTGTATGTATATGCCCCTCTCACTTTGTTTAATAGAAAGACATTAACTTTATTTAGTTCTGTGAAATTGGCTTTGTGGGTTGTGATTTTGGGTTGATGATGAAGGTTTCAGAGGCTTTTGTTTCGGCACAAACTGTACCAGCTTCGTGAAGACAGGGACATAAAGCCTGAGACTTTTGCGTCTCTGCTATTCTTTATGAGAAAAGGTTTGAAATTTTCTTGAGCAATTTGATAATGAGGTGCTATTGAATATGTTAGCTTAATCTGAATGTTGGGGTGTGTACAATCATGCCTTTTTGTGATTTAGGTTTGGTCCATACTTCTGTGTTCTGTCTATTAGCCTGTAATTGCTGGATTGGGAGATGAAGATAAGCCATTCTTCTGCACTATGGATTAAACTGGAGCCAAGTAGGTTTGTTTTTTCTTTTCCCTTTCTTTTCCGACTTTTTCGCATTTTTAGAGGTGCTGGGATGGGATGCTAAGGACTTCAAACAAATTTCTTCAACCTTCCTAAGTAGAATACATATGCGTGCTTACTCTTATTTTGATTATATATGTTTATGTGCATCTATCATTTCATATTGGTATTATATGTCTTCTGTGTATGCAGGGAACTAACCAAAGATTTTGTTGTTGCTGGCACTGCATCAGAGTCCCTTTATGGTGCTTGTGAGGCAATGTTCAAGCCTGAGATGGTTTGTTGCTTTGCTCTTTCCACTGGGCAGTCAAGATTTGTTATTTGATCTGCGTACATTTTTTCGTATTTGAGATTTTCATTTTAATACACTTTAGATGTTATGGAAAATCATATAATTAACATTCGAGAACTTGAATCCATGCTGTCACTGGCCGTGACTTTTTAAGTCCTTGTTATTATCACACTACTAATAGTAGCAGAGAAAGGGTCTATAGAATAGAAGTCAAGAAAAAACAAGCTGAGGGATCTCCTAAGTTTTAACTTCTTGGCCCTATATTGTCAGCAGCCAAGTGCTACTTGAACTAAACATATATGGAGATAAACAATGGCTTCCTTGCCAGATGTGCTTGAATAATAATTCGCAGGATTTTTTGGCGCTTAACTCATGGTAGAATTTATTACGCGCTAATTAGTTAGACGTAATTGGGTTGGTGATTGCTGCTATTACTTCTAATTCTAAATTTGGTACTCCTGTTTATTTTCTTACTATTTGCAGGAACTGTAATAACAGTATATTTTCTAATTATTTCACCAGGGAACCAGAGGAATTCTTTGAGATTGTTTCTCAAGCATTGCTATCATCAGATGATCGAGATTGTCTGAGTGGGTGGGGAGGCCATGTCTATGTTGTGTATGCTACTTTTTTCTTCTAAGCAATATCACTAACTGTGTTATAACTTATCCATAAAAATAGGTAATGTACAGTGGAGGTGTTCCTCTTGGATACATCATAAGATTTTAATTTTCTTCTCTTTTTGTTTTTGTTTTTTTTTCTTTTTCACATTCATACTTAGAATTAGGCAGGGCCTAATATTCTAATTTCATTGCTTCCATCGTCTAAGCTGCCAAAGATAGCGACTAGGCTATCTTCATAATATTTCACCCTCATTTTATGCTGGAGGTTATTACCACCATTTAAAATGTGCATTCACATTGCTGCAGAAACACCAACTGAAGTGAAGAAGAGGATCTTGCAGGGCAGAATGGATTGACCTAGCTTCCGGCATTTACCGACGACTTCTAAATTTCATTCAGGCTGCTGCATTTTCTCCTCTCATGTATATTTATGCAGCTTTGACTTGAATGGGCAGCCATAAGCCTTCTTGGTGACCAAAGGCCCCCTTGTTATGTGGTGGCTAAAGTTTAGTGTAATTTAATCAAGAAGACACAGCGTTGGATAATCTGATTCATACTACACAATTTTGTTTTTTGTTATGAAAAAGACATAACAACCCAAATTTATTTGTTTATGTTTTAAGCTTTGCGTCAGCTCAGCTAGTCTTTCTTTCTTCCTGTAGCTATTGTGCAGCACTACTTGATGAATTATGCCCTGTTAACTCAAAAAAAGCAAGAACCTGCTTTAGAATAAAGCCATAAAGGGTTCCAAAAAGAATATATATAAAAAAGCACCGCACAAAAACGAAAAAATATAGTGAAGAAACAACAACCACAACAAGGAGTCAGATGAGGCTTCAGAACTTGTCCTGCTGCAACCAGCTATTTGCAGAAGTTTAAAAGCAAAAACAAGAAATTGAAGAAGAAAGTTCGTACCTGCACTCGTATCTATCTTCCACACCAAACAGAGCCGCTGTAGATTGTACCTTCTTTGTAGTGTAGTTAGAGGTCATGTGGGAAGCCGACACAGTTCAATCAATAACAAGTGAACTGCCCGCTTGACTTAACTGAAAACACATACAAAAATTATGATATTAATAATAACATCTGTTTGGATGAAATTATTGTATTGGTATTGGAAATTGAAATACACTTGCCCTCCGTTTGGATGAAGAAAATGATGGAATTTAAATCTCCATCATTTAAATTTATGGGAATTAATAACTTTAGTATTTGAATTTATGTATGTCGAATTTTGTAAACGACATAAATTACAGTAAAAATGAATTCCTACTCAATTGGAATTGCAAAATGACGACTCTTTTGGCGATAATTAAACTCGAGAATCTAGATCCCCAAGTTCCATGATTTTTCCCATTCTTCATTGAATAAGTTTCATGTTTAAGTTAAATCCCGAATTTAAATCCCATTCTTCTCTTCAATTTCCGACTTTTAGCTAAATCCCGAGTTATTTTCTTTCATTGAAATGGAGGTTTGTAGAATTTATTAAGGTATACCCTCAATAATTAGATCTTAATTAATTGTAGACGACACATGTTATAACTTTCATGGACTTTGTGTAACACTACTTGGTGTTGAAGTACACTTTATTGAATAAAATTTAGGTATGAACGAGATTTCGATATTTAGTTTGTTTATGTATGATCTCGTAATGAAGTGGGGTTATCGTGTTGTTAATAATTAACATATTCTCAAATAATAAAAACAATAGATAGTTTATGTGAGCTTTTCTAGTAGTATTTCTCTTTCCAATATTAAAAACATGTTTAAATTTAAATATCCATTACTAAAAAAATAGCGAGTTAGTTAGATCATGCGTTGGCATCACTACATGAACATATGCGTTTTCTCAGATTAAAAGGAAACATAGAATATAAATGCTAATTAGCATCCCTTCTGTCATATGCATGATCCTTGTATAAATCGTGGTTAATTGTACACAACCCAAATTTTCGATTTCCTTCCCAAAAAACGAGAGACGCACATCGTTTAAACCCGAAAAGGCCCACCCAAAAAAAAACAACCAATATTTCAGTACAAAAGAGAGGTCAAAGGGAGAGGAAGACTAAAAAAAAGGTGGCATTTTAAATAATAAAAAAAGAAGAAAATTCATGAATCCAAATAGACCCACTTGAAATTCTTGATTTTAATCAACGATTGAAGGGTCGAGCAAAGAAAAACACACCGGAATTCGCATCCATCACCTTCACCCATCCAATCTTGGAAACAAAATAAAAACAGAAAATAAAATAAAAAAGGAAGAAAAAAACAGAGAGAAAAAAGAAAAAGATCTGCAAAATTCGAAAACCCAGTCAGATAAGATTGGCAGAGGGACCTCAAAAACCAAAAGGAAATAGTAACAAATAAATTTGTTTTTGGGTTACCTGTGAAGAGAGTAAAAGAAGCAAGCGTGCCACGTTACGAAAACAGCCTATAGAAGCGCGCTTCCCAGACCCCAAAAACCCCGAGTCTCTCTAAAATACCAAATTTTTTTCTTTTTTTATTTGTTTTTCCTTTTTTAATTCATAAAAGCTCACATATACACACAAAAACTTAGAACGGGAAGCCCCAAAACCAAAACTTCCCCCAAACCCACAACCCAGTAGTCTCAGTCGGTCTTCTTTTCCACCCATAATCAAAAGAAAACCAGACCACTTCTTTGTAATTGTACCCCACACCACACGTCTTTGTTTCTCTAATCTCCTTCTCATCTCTCCATAATTCCCTACCATTAAACTACCCATCTATCTATCTTTTGTATTTTCTTTCTTTTTTTCGGTTTTTTAGGCCACGGGGACCTGCACATCTATTATCACTATAGCCAAGATTTGCCAGATTGAGAGAGATAGATAGGTTGTAGCTACCAAAATACCCAAACCCATTATTAAAAAAAAGGGCACAACACCAAAAGGTTCCAACTTGAAAACCCATCACACACATAACCCACAAATTTTTTTCACCCAATCTCACAACCCAATTGGGAAAAAGGTGATCTTCGAGCAAAACTCCCCCTTCTTTAAAGGTAAGGTACATTACTCTGCCACTCCTCGCATGTATCTAATCTCTTATCTTCTCTAGTCTCTCTGTAATTTTGGCTGAGGCATGCCATGCCCATCTATGTATGTCACATTTTTTTTCTTTGTTTCTTTCTTTTCTCTTGCTGTCAATTTTTGCTGACTTATTCTAGCTCACCACCCCAACCCAAGCCAGCCCAAACCCTCTTCTTCTACAATATTTTGACACCACCTTTTTAAACACAAACATGGTAGGAAAATAAAGGCACGAACTTGAACCTTCTTCTTCTTCGAATGTACTTTTTAATTGGTTCTTTTTTTTTGTTTTTTCTTTAAAGAGCATGTATATGTTATGTTTGGTACATCATTTTTGTTTCATTTTTGATCTGTACCCACTTGTGCATGTTCCCGATCCGTACATGGGGCTGTCTGTTGCGGATTTATCTAGGGTTTTTCATCATAATGTTACCAATTAATGGTAAAGTCTATGGCTTTAACCAATTTTAAGTACTGGGTTTAGTGAATTAGGGTTTGTTCTTGAGATATGGGTCAATTTCACATGCTGAGCTCGTTGGTTGTAATTAAAGTGTGATGCAGCTTCTTTCTGATTGTGTTAGGCAAGTTTATGGGTAGAGTTTTGCAGTTTGATTTTGGGTGAGATTATTTTGGAGAACCTCTGGTACTATAGATGTACAGAGATGTAAGGAACCGGGGTTCATTGGTTGTTGATTTTACGTCACATAGTTTTCTATGCAGATTGTTGTGTATTACTGCTTCTGAATTGAGGAGCACCATTGTAATGCCTTTTAGTTATATT